GCCTCGGGAGGGGCTGCAGGTTGGCCGAGACGAGCAGGTGGCAGTGGCGCTCTGCCCAGCCTGGAATCCCCCGCGTCCCCAGCCCTCCCTGCGGGTGGGTTTGCTTCCCTGTGCGTTTTTCAGACGAGAACACTGAGCCCAGAGACGTTAAGTAACTTCCCCAGCGTCACACAGGAATGAGTTTGGACAGGAGGGCAGGTTTGGGAGCCAGAAAGCAGGGGTGGTGACCCCTCTGCTTGTCGTGTGGTGGCTCTGGCCCCAGGGAAGGGCTTCCCTGAGCCAGCCCCTCACTGCAGGATTTCAGACACGTCCTGTGGGCCTCAAGGTGCGGGGACACTGCAGGGGTGAGAGGGTACCCGGTGGGGGCCTGGCCCAGGCGGGTCCATGTCCCAGGTGGGAGGGGTGGGAGGCTGTCCGGCTGTCCAGGGCGAGGCCTGCCTGCTGGCTGTGGTGGCCGGGAGCCGGGGCTCTCTGGGTCCCAGCCTGCACACCCGGCTCAGCCCCGCCCTGTGCCGTGCACAGCCTTGATGCCCAGTGCGTGGCCTGGGTGGCTGGACGTGACCGAGGGGCGAGGGGGGAGGGAGGTGGGAGGGAGCTGGTCTGCCCCACCCTCCCTGCTGACGTGGGCTGTGCAGGAAGCTGAGGGGCGGGACTCCTGGGGACAGGGGCCTGAAGGGCCGCATGGGGGTAGGTGAGCCCCCACCCACCCCACAGCCTGTGGGTGAGGCCCAGCTGCCGGTGGCTCAGGTTTCAGCGAGGACACCCCCACCGGACACTGCGGAGATGGCCCTGCCTTCCTGCCGCCTCCTCCCTGGCCCCTGGAGCCCCACATGACCCCTCTGGGCACACGGTCTAGGTGGTGGCGCCCCTCTCACCGGCCTCAGCCTCCCTGTCCCTGTGCCCCCGGGCGGGCAGTGTCCCCTCTGGATGGCCGCGGGCTGGGGGCAGCCCAGGAAGGGCTGTGGCTCCTTCCTTGTCCAAAAATAAATTCACGTGGCGGTGCCGGCATGGGAGTGACAGGGCTGATGTCACTCCTGCCCGCGGGCCTTTAGGTTCTGGGAAGGGGCCCGGGGTCCTGGTCAGGGCCTGGAGGGCCTCGGGCGTGTGACGGCCGTGTCCTGGTCAGAC